AAAAAGAAGACCACCAATTTCTGTGAACTCAGTGTGCAAGGATCTTTACGGTGCTTTGTGCTGTTAAGACGAAGTGGATGTTCTTGACAATCGCCATACTGGATTTTGGCGTTTGCTTGTACGGTTGCTCAGAATTGTCAAAACACCTCTCAAAATGCTTGCTATGGATGCAAAAAATGCAGAAAATCTGCTGGGTCAAAACAACCCAATAGCTGGGTTTGTCCCTTTTTAACCCAGCATTTTTTAGAGTGTAACGTCATCAAAACTTTAAAATAACGTAAGTAAAAGTATGGCAATTATGTCTAGTTACCAGAAATGCTAAACAAATCAACCATTATATTTTCTCTTCATATCTCATGCACACTCTTCATGTGGTCCTGGCATGCTTTTTAAGCAGCAGTTCCCATGTCAGTTTTTTTTTTCATGCGAAATGTATGTATGTATGCACGCATGTATGTAAATACATTCAGAACTGTGCAAATTCTATTTGGGCCTAGTCAATTAAATCAGTCTTTTTGTGCAATATTCATTATTGCACAAAACATAACAGGCTTCTTATATGAAACCATAAAGACTCCTGTTCTCCTCTCCTACACTATGAACATTAGCCCAACTTGGCCCATTATCTAGAGAGGAAGCACTCTTAACAAGGGTTCTAATGACTACACTACTTTCAGTATGCTCTGTGAGATACCAGCAGAAACAGAAGATCACACATATATAAACAAACAAATGAGTGCGTGCGCACACACACACACACACACACACACAGAGAAACTTTAGGAACTCCATCAAGCTAGTCTTTCTCTTATTTTAAGGAAGTTCACTGTCTCCTTTTGCTGGTGCCCACTGAAGACGGTCTGCTCAGAGTCAGAGACAGAGATATAAATACACACACACACACTGTACACTTTCCTAGCGAGTCCTTGGTCTGTCACTGCTAACAATGTCAAAAATGACAATGCAAACAAGAATCCAGTTATATTATATTCATAGCAAAATTATTTCATGCTACCATTAAGTGTTTGACATACTGATTGACATACAGTGGACTCCAAAAAACTATTTGGACATTTGAAATGTCTGAATTTCACTATTACATAAGAAAATTATGTAATGCAAATTATGCTTTTCTTATAACTACATTTTTGTTAGACTTTTTTCATTTATGTTCTGTATGAAAGCTTGTTTCCACCACAGAATAAAAAATATAAAAGGTAATTTTAACTCACAATTCTGACATTGTTTCAGAAATGACAAATTTATATCTCACAATCACAAGTTATAAAAGTCTCGCAAATCTGACCTTTTTTCCTGAGTTTAAACAGAATTTACATTCTAAATTTACATCTCACAATTATGACCTTTTTCTCGCAATTGCAGTTTATATCTTAATTTGGACTGCTATAAATCGCAAATTAATCTCATAATTGCAGTTTTGAGTTTATATCTTGCAATTCTGAATTTATATCTTACAATTCTGACTTTTTTTTCAGAGTTGTGCAAAAAAGAGAATTCTGAGAAAAAATGATAGTTGATGTCTGAAATCAGGTTCACACAGGTGTTCCATCAGAGTAAACACACATCACATTAACTACATGAACATGACAATCAGAAAGTGTCCAAATACATTTTAGAGGTCACTGTATCCTGGCACCAAATGTGGTGATGAACTAACCTTAATCATTTGGGCCACATAGCTCTCGGGGCCCGTGTACTCGGTGGGGTCCTTCACCTTCACCAACACCAGGAAGTACAAATAGTGCCACATGCTGTGCTCTGACTTGATGTGCTCCTCAAACGACACAGTCTTGTTATCAAACTTGTCTCTCTCAAGGCCTGAAGATGAGCAGATAATAAAAATGAAAGGTTCTTCAAAGAAAGAGCCCACACTGTCTATCAAAGTCATTTGTTTTATTCATGGTATTCCACTGTTTATAGTCACTATAAAACTTTCGGTCCCACTTTATATTAAGTGGCCTTAACTACTATGTACTTACATAAAAAAATAAGTACAATGTTCTTATTGTGTTCATATTGTATTGCAAAACACTTTTGCTGCTATTGAGGTGGGATATGGGTAAGGTTAGGGACAGGTTTGGTGGTTTGGGTAGGTTTAAGGGTGGGTTAAGGTGTAAGGGATGGGTCAACAGTGTAATTATAAATGTAATTACAGAAATTAATTACAGATGTAATTACATGCAGGTATTTTTAAAATATAAGTACAATGTAAAAACATGTATGTACACAATAAGTGCATTGTACCAAATTATTAATTTAAATGTAAGTACACAGTAGTTAAGACCACCTAATATAAAGTGAGACCAAGGCTGTTCCCAGTGTTATGTTTCTGTGATGTACATTTTTTCCCTGAAGAAACT